TCCACATGTATTTGCGAAGATATATTTATATTAATTTGTTTTTCTAAATGATTATAATGCGAATGACATTTTTGAAAACTTAATATGTAACGTTTTCTGTAAACAAGTCACGTCTTCTTAACATAATTATTCTGTTCATATAAGTTTAATAAAAATCAAAATTTTTGAAAAAAAGGATAAAAATGTGTGGATCTTTCAAACTTACCGTTTTTTTTTCTTTCTGACTTTGGTAAAAAAAAAAAGACATTTTGAAAGGTAATTATTTTAGTAAATTGATTTTTCTTCGTCATTAGCGTTAAACTTAAAGAATGATGTTATAAGTGATTTTTTGTGATGTAAACTTTTGTAAAAACGTAATTTTTTAATTTTAAAATTATTTTATGTCTTCAAAAGTTAAACCTCAAAATAGTTCAAGTAAACAGGAAGGCAACATTATTTTTTATTTATATAAAAAATATAAATGCCTAACACACGCGGCTCCATCAGAGCCGTCGCTCGGCTTTTTGTGGCCCCTTACAATTGTTCGGTTTTGTGCCCCCCCACCCCCACACCCCAAATGCATTGAAAGATGATGACCAAAAAAGTATTCACAACTTTAAGCCCCTAAAATATCAGAGTCCCCTTCAGACGTACTGGTTACTTGGCCGAAACGAATTTGTTTAAGTTTGAGTGACACAAACCAACTTTTTTTAAATACCATCTTTTCCGTTGCTTTCAAATTAAGTGTAGAAGTTTGTAAACTTAAATTCGTGTACGTCCTAAATTACATTATTGCATTTTTAAGTTATCAAACATTTTCTTGGTTATATAAAGTTATCAGGGGCAAGAATAAGCTGGAAAAATAGCGTCCATTTAAGGATAATACAACTGGAATTTATTTGCGTCATATCCCGTTGGTGCAAAGCTAGAGATTTATTTGATGATTTTTATGGTTGATTTCGGAGCATACCACACGAAAAATTTGAAAAGCCACCTCAAAAATGTCCGAAAGAAACACTGAATTCAAGTATGCGCCGAAACGCACCTATGTATTTTGACTTTGTTAATCTGTCGCCAGCGACCTGAATTTCTGATCCATCCGTTGGAAAGCTGATTAATGTTACAGTATTGGATTAAATATATACACTTATGTCAAGATTACCCTTGGGTACACCACAACTTGATTAAATTCGGTTTATGTATTTTTTCGTTGCACCATAATAATGCATCTCCCAGAACCTGAAAACTTTCCTTCCCCCGATCAAAAAGTCTTAAAAAACAATGAATTCATTTAATAAATAAATCATTTCTTGGAGAAGGTTTCCCATGACCTATCGTCTACTGAAGATTCATCAGCGCCCTTGATGTATGCCCCACTACCCGATACAAATTATCGCCACTGCTGGTGCTGATATTTCTACTGCCTCGTGTCGTGGCTAGTATTAGTGCTGCATGGGCGGCCAAAGATTTATGCCGCTTTCCCATTCTTGTGACAAATTCTGAAATTGTCCGAAAAAGCCGCCGCATCAGTTGACACCTGGGTGTAGCACAACTGTGTGGGGCGTAGCTAGAGGGTTTTGTGTCAGGGAGAAAAGTTCATTTTTACGCGCTTCCCTCCCCTTCACACCCAAAACCTTTATTTTGAACAAATTTAATTCCACCAAAGCCCATTGTGTCGCCCCCAATTTTATGGCTCCCGGGAACGAATGTCCCATCTGCCACCCCTTAACTACATTGCGGTTACTAGCACTTCTCGTCCAACTGAAAATATGAATCACCCACCCACCCCCTCCGGAGTTAATTGTCTGAAAAAAATATCGTATGTGTATTATCCAGCTTGCTATTATCTCCTAGATGTATATTGGCCTGTGTTGTTTATTGTTGCAAAGGGATGAAAGACTTATAATGGGTATTCTCGTATGTAGTTTTGTAATGCTGGGTTTTGTATTTCAATGTGGTATAATATAGAATTTTGCTCATTTCTCTTTTAATATTGTTGACCTTGCACCGCGCTTTCAGCCTTTGGGAATGAAGCGTGATTTTCAAATAAACTTTATTATTATTATTTTCTCGGTATGATTGTTCGTTTCACGGTAAGGGCATTAAAGATGTTGTTACATGCTGATCTTTTCTGAAGAGAGTAAACAGAGTGAAATTCCCAAGCCGTCACGGCTGTTTGTTATTATGAAGACAAAAGTTAATAGTATTTTGTCAGTGAAAGACGGCTGATTTTTTTAGCAATACGTTCAAATTACCAACTAAAAGGATTTGATGATAACAGTAAAATAAGTTATTCAGTGGCAAACATTTTTAAAAGGGTGCCTAGCGCTTGGCCCACAGTAGAAAATATGGGAAGTATTTAATACCATGATTTCGTATCACATAAATAATTCGTTTTGCGCATAAACTTGTCATAAGTTTTTTATTTTTTTTGTAAGCTATAAATTATAATAATAAATATAATAGGTACAAAAATTATTGAAATTGTTCGTCATTCACATTCGAAAAAGACCTAGGCAATTTCGATGGAGGGTAAAAAGATTTCCTTGTCAGTACTTTTTGCGAACAATAGCTCTCCATTGTGTAGATTAATTGTTGTTTGTTTCCTACTCGTAAAATTTAAAATGTGAAAGTGGGGACATTTTTATGAGGACAATAATATCTAAAACAACCAATCTTTTTACCTGCGTAAACAATTAATCTAAATATATGAATTTTTTAAAAAGTTATTGCCCTTTTTTTCATTTCCGAAATTGCAGTTCAGGGATTTTAACACTTATGGGTTTAGGTTTTTATTAAACAATATTAATTTTTTTTTCTCCATTAGTGCAACATACAGTAGAGGAGCATGGGACATGTTTATGCGCTGTAGAATATTTGTTAAAAACACAAGACTTTTAAACTTAAACATGGGACAAGATATTCGTTTATATTTAAAATAATTCTGTTTATTACGTTTTAAAAATAACATAGTTCTAGAGCGAGACAGATGCTGTGTAATTTTTTAATGAAGACACCAATGTACCAACAATTTTTAATGATACATCTATTTAAAATAGTACATTTAGATTTTTAAGTTAAAGGCATATTTTTTTCAATTTTAACAAATGCGTTTTATTTGTAGTTAAATGGTGTAAACATGGTTGAATTGGTCTAAATTATATAAAAGAAAACATTATGAAAACTCAATGATTTGAGAAACGTAATAATCTGGAAATAAATTCTTCTTTAAAAATTAAAGAAAATTCTCGATTAGCTAAATAAATATTTCAAGTGCCATTAAAAAAATGTTGTTAATAGAATATATGAAAACTCTGTCCAGTTAATTTCGTTAAATATTTAATTTTAGATGTTCAGACTTCTAAAAAACAGGTGGAAACTAATGCAATATGCCTTCCATTATTATCGCTGTAACACTGGTTCAAATAATTCTATTATTTAAGAATAGAATAATTTCAAATAAGACACGCAAATTACATTTGTTTAGTTGATGAATTAAATGAGCTATGGATACAAATTTAAAAATTTACAAATGAGATTGAACAATATAAATATTGTGATTAATATAAATAATTAGAGGTAATTTAAGGAACATTATCATTGCAAATCCCATCTACATGCATAGGAGCCAAAATGATCAATAAATTGATTGTGGGCCCTTAAGATATAGAAGAAGAAGAATTTGAATATTAATTTAAAAAAATGTCTAAGGAAGTATATCATAAAAATGAATGTCTAAAATAGATAAATGCAAATGAAGATTTTGGGCTCGATAGAAAATATGAATTCTACAAAATTGATGTTAGTAGTATTATTACTCAAGAAATATACATACGAGAGTATAAATGCTAAAATGATATTTACACACACATATCTAAATATCTAAAACTGCGTTAAATATAATTTTAAGAGTTACATTTAAAATAACGAATTTGAAATATACATAAAAATATATTATAATTAAATTTAGTTTAAAAACTATAGAAAATTCAGAATAAGATTAACAATTAAGAATGTTTTTAAATTAGATTTTGATAATATATTCCTTTTTCAAGTCATTACTTTACTGTTAACCACCAATGATATACCTCGAGCCAAATTTAGCTAAATTATAGGTGGTGAGATTGTAAATGTTTCTGTGGAGGTTGTACAGAATGTTGCATCAAGAGATTTTTGAAATCCTGCTATACATTTCTCTAGATAAACTGCATGCTTTAATGTTTCGTTAGTCTGTGGGCCAAGCATTAGATTGGTCAAAAACAACAAGCTATCTCCATCGTGCTGGTAGAACAACATGAACGGTAAATTACTGATGCAACTGGAGTTTCCGTTTAAAGATTGGGTTCAATGTAAGACCAACTCCATCGAGTTGTTGCTCTTTTAGGATATATTCTCTTAACCTTAAGCATAGAGAGTTTCGCAAAAAAGAGTAAGTCTGATATGTTTTTTATTTGTTTTTATTACTTTTCTTATATTCCTCATGTTTTTATGGCTAAAGAAAATAGGGTGTCTAGTGCTATAATTTTATTTCAGCTTTAAAAATTAATTCAGTATATTTAACATTTATCTGCTTTTAATTATAATTTTTTTCTTGCTTTCATTCCTTAAATGAAAATTGATAGCTTTCAAAGACGATGTGTAAATTTATTTTGTTTTGTGTATGTTTATTTTGTTTAATACACATTTAAGATTAAACATTCCATTTAAAAAAATATAAATAATTTAGACCTAAATGCTAAAAATAGATATAATTAAAACAGACATGCTTTAATGTGAAATAAAAACATCGGACATTTTTTTTAAAGCTAAAAATAACACATTATTAATAAAAAAAAATGTTAGGCATAACTTACCTAGCACTTGCAAAAAAAAATAATAACTCTAAAACTGAGGGATGTAACAAAGAAGGAATATATTTTCTTTCTCTCTCACTCCCTGATTCGTTCTGTCTATACACTACCATAGCTTTCATTTATACAATTTGTTAGATAGATTTCTTTCTGTAACTTATCAGATTAAATACCTGCATAAATTATCGAATTAATCATGATTTTATTACAACCTCGTTAAACAAATAATAAAAGAGCCACGCAGACAGAAGTAGCATTGAAAAACAAATCGTATTTAACTAACATTAGGCAGGTTACAATCTTTAATATAGCAATGTGGTTGGAGGGCTAATGACAGGAGGAGTTAGAAGATAGTGGATTTTATGGAATGTGGTCAGACAATCTGGATGGGACACAGATAACGTGAGCAAGAGCGAGATAACAATAGGGTGATATTTAGAGCGGGTGGTAGGAGGGAATAGAGTAGTTATGAATATAAATGTTAATGCATGTGATCAGACAAAGGTGATAAAAAATAGAGAGAAAGAGACGGTGAGAAAGATGACGGGAAAGGAGTTGTTAGAAAAGTAGGAATACGTTCAGAGCAAGTAAAAAACAATTATCATATTGCCGGTGTTGATTTTTGTTTTCTATTGATCACCGGTCTTTAAACTACATATGTCATATTTTTAGGTCATGTTCTGCTTTCAAAATATATAACTAAATAAATTATTTATATGTTGACGATATCTCAAGGCAATGTATTAAGTAGTTAATGACTTTAAGACAGCTGGTACCAAATTAGACAAAGAGTTATCATCATTTGAAATAGAAACAGAGCAAACATTTAACAGTTTTGAAGTTGCTGAAGATGCTACATCATCTTTATAGTCTTTTTTTAAGCTAAAACAGAGACGCTCGTCTATATTTGTGACTCCAAACATATTGGATATGCCCTGCCAAAGAACCTCAACCAACTTCAAATGTACGCCATTTATTTCGCCACGGTTAATTTCCCAAAGATTGCCGTTAGCTTGAAGAATATATAATTGTTTCTCTTTTCTAAAACTATGCATATTTTTGGCTGATCCTTCCAGGCAGTCAAGTCGTGTCCATGTCTGAGACCTCGTGTCTAGACAATGTACAGCTGTCTTATCTACCCCTTTTATAATCTCAAAACAAAATGCAAGTAGGAAGAAATCAAAAGAACAAAGGTGTTCAATTTTATCTTGTGAGGGGAAGTTATTCAAATTCGCAAGTGAACAATTCCAAAATCTCGGATCAAATCTTTTAATTTGTTGAGTAGAAGAATGAAATAAATAAATAAATTCTTCGACAGCCACACCCAGCCATCCTTGACCTGGTAGTTCCATGAGTTCACGCCATTTACTTTGTTCGAAAAAACACAATCTGCTGCTCTCTTCTAAATCACCGACTGCAATAAAGTTTGTCTGGTAGGCAATTAATTTAACAGACGTACATTTAACCAGGTACGGACATTTTGGAAGAAATACCGATTGAAATTCAGGCAGAAATGAAAACATTTCAAATTCTCCATATGCGCTACCTTGTGCTGCAACATTCTTTAAACCACTACAACTTCTATGAACGGCTGCCTTCAGACTCTGACCATGTTGACGTCCAATGGACTTATATAAGGTGGCATCCATTACCATTTCTCTGGTTCTTTTGTTGTTAAATACTAAAGTATCATGTGATAATTTTTCTAGAGTTATAGAACTAACAAGAAACAATCTTGTTTCTGAAAGTAAATTTTCAAAACGATTCATGCGATATTCATTTATGTTTTCTAATTTGATTGTTGGGTTTTTCTTTTTATTCTCAATCATTCCATCTTGTTCATCTTCACCTGAAACACTGTTTGAATTTTCATTGAGATATTTAACCATCGTCTGAGATCTAATTGTACTTTCATCGTTAAACCAATTTAGGATGGAGTCAATGACAACGTCTTCAGTAGGCACAACCAGATCTTGACTTTTTATAATTTCAAGTAAATCTTTTTCACGAATACACAGAAATGTGTCAGATTTGATGATTTGTTCATAATTTTTCTTGATGAAATCTCGAACATGTGACAAAATCAAATCTGAGCCTAACGTGTTCGCCGTCTCGTATATAATATTCCAGATTTCCAGAGATGTGTTGTTGATGAGAAACTTTTCACAAAGCTCTATGATACTTTTGTGCTGTAGTTGAGATGATACTTCCCAAATTGTAATGACATTATCGTTTGAAATGCTGTTTATAATAAGATCTACACACATGTCAAAGAGAAATGTAATTTTTAGTTGGTCAGCAGCAAGCCATACGTTTAGCATGTTGTCACGTGTCAGATTGTTACATCCGTTGTAGAGAGTTTCTAAGATGGCAGTGAACGTTTCCATGGAGATGCCCTCAAGCTTTGTTCTTTGTTTCTGCGACTCTTTCATCCCAGAGCTGAGAAGACCACGGAAATATCCAGAACATGCACTGAGTATCAGACGATGACATTTGAATTCAGTGCCTTCAACTTCAACACTGAAATCTTGTAGATCTTCGTCTTTTCTCACTGATGATACACCTTCAATGATGGCACAGGCTATTTCCGGTTTTGTCAACATGATGGTGTTTATGTTTTTTTTAAATACTTAAATCTAAGGAATTTAAAAGAAAAAAATCTCTTTAATTAAAAATATACTCAAAGAAATTAAATTGCGATAAATTGTAAGTAATTTTAAATTTAATTATTTTCTTCATGTATTATTTATTATTCGAAGGATTCTCAAACAGTGCTCTCAGTCTTCCTATGGAACTGCGACACCTTGCATGGTCGTCTTTTTTTCAAATTTCCTTTGGGAATCAATTGGTGTTTGTGAAAACCAGTATTAAACTTGTGTAAAAAATAATAAAAGGGCTTGACAAAAGCTTTATTTGGATTATTGAGACACAAAAATTTTGGTCAAAAAACGATATACGTTAGTCTCATTAATCATGGGATAAAAACCATTAACATAAAACTTTACAAATGTTACAAAATATTTATTTCCCAAAAAATTAAGTGTATCAATTTTTTAGTATATCAATTTGGCAACTGTTAATTATTTTTTTCGGATGTTTTATCAATTATTATGAATGTGATTAAGACAATTGATGTGAATAGCTTTTCCGTCTCTTTTGTCATTTACAAATAGATATATTTTCTGGTTTTTTTTAGAAAATATTATTTTCTTCCCATTTCACTTATCAATTGACATATGGTAATTTAGGAAAAGCCAACCAAATTTTTTGTTAGATCTCAGCATCATTGGCATAGCTAGATTATGACCAATATTCTATCCCAAGCCTCTGCCACGAAAATACTCTACGTTTTGAAAAAACCAACACAATTTAAAAAAAAAAAACTCCTGGGGAACCTCTACCACTCCGCCTGCTTTCCTACGTCAGTGTCCGGCTTTTTTCATGAACAGTTCTTTAAACGTACATTTATTATTAAAAAAAATTTACGTGTAAACCATCTCAAAACTGAAAAAAGAAGACATTCTGCTATCATTAGAAAATATGTCGGTTTATCCACAAAAAAAAACATTTCAATTTAATCTTTTTATAAATGAAATACATATTTTAAGGTCAATTCAAATAGGTAAAGTTTTAGCATTATACTTTGTTTTTGATGAAACTTAATACTTCAGAGGTTGAAGTGCAACGTTAGGGCCAGTCTGTGTGAAGTTGCCTTTTCCTACAATTGCCTGGCATTGGATAAATTAAACGGCAATAAGATAGCATTTCCTCCTAAAACAATGAGATATCCTTATACACTTTTACATTATATTATATTAAATTATTAAAAATTTCCACGGTTCAGTTGTAATAATATATCTCTCACGATTAACTTATAAAACATACAGTATTTAAAAAAAAAACTAACATATTGCTTGACTGGCAAATGGAAACTGAAATATTACATTGGAAAAATCTAAAATAACTTTTCGGGTTTTTCCTAAAACTTAGTTCCATAAGTTGCCCATAGGGTATTATCTTTTTCAGTTTTCAGAGAAATTAATGACAAAGCGGAATTACACGGAGATAGTATTGTAAGCTATAAATGATATGTGACAATTCGTCATTTCACTGCCACCATTTTGTCGCTGCTATTTTCGTGTCACCGTTTTGAAGTCAACATTTTGGTGTCAACATTTTGTGGACGTCACTTTGCTGTCAACATTTTGTAAACGTCATTTTGCTGTCATCATTTTGTGGACGTCATTTTGCTGTCATCATTTTGTGGACGTCATTTATCTGTCATCATTTTGTGGACGTCATTTTGCTGTCATCATTTTTTGGACGTCATTTTGCTGTCATCATTTTGTGGACGTCATTTTGCTGTCATCATTTTGTGGACGTCATTTTGCTGTCATCATTTTGTGGACGTCATTTTGCTGTCATTATTTTGTGGACGTCGTTTCAGTGTAACTTTTTGTGGCAGTCATTTTGGTGTCACTATTTTTCAGTCCTTATTTGGTGTCACCATTTCATTTTGTTCACGTCTTTTTGATGCCCTCATTTTGTGAACGTCGTTTTGGTGTGAGCCAATTATATCGTCCATGACAAAGAAATTAGTTAACACAACACAGTAAAACACGATTCGATTTATCATGACACATTTTAACACGACATGGTTTAACATGACAAAGTTTAACATGGCAAATTTTAACGTTACACAGTTTAAAATGACAAAGATTAAAATGACACATTTTAACCTGACACAGTTTAACATGACAAAAATTAAAATGACACAGCTTCGCATGACAATATGTAACATGACACAGTTTAATATGACACAGTCTAACAAGACACAGTTTGACATGACTAAGTTGAACATCACAGGGTTTAACATGAGAATGTTCAACACGACCCACTGGAACAAGACAGATTTCCACATTCCATAGTTTAACATGCCACATTTTGAATGATACAGTTTAGAATGTCACAGTTTAACATGACACAGCTCAACACCACACACTCTAACAGGACACAGTTAAAGAATGACAGTATAAACCTACACAGTTTAACCTTACACAGTCTAACATGGCACTTTTCAAATCTACACAATTTAACATGACACAATACAAGGTGACGTGGTTTAACATGACACAATTTAACACACCATTATTTAATATGACACTTTAAACATGCCACAATTTAAGTAGACACAGTTTAATATGAGACATTTTAACATGTCACATTTGAAAATGACACTTTAAACAAGCCACAGTTTAACATGCCACAGTTTAACATGCCACAGTTTAACATGCCACAGTTTAACATGCCACAGTTTAACATGCCACAGTTTAACATGCCACAGTTTAACATGCCACAGTTTAACATGCCACAGTTTAACGTGCCACAGTTTAACATGGCACAGTTTAACATGCCACAGTTTAACATGCCACAGTTTAACATGGCACAGTTTAACATGCCACAGTTTAACATGCCACAGTTTAACAAGGCCAAATTTATCATCAGTTAAAAGAGGGACACTAAACAAAACGCTATATGCTTTTGAATTCAAATTACGATTACACTGTTTCACCTCTGTTTCACCTTTGTTTCACCATCATATGATACGCATGAAAATACTAAGAAAAGTTCTCTTGCAAAAAAGCTAAATGAAAATATCATCTAAGCCATAATGTGAAACACAGACAAAAAATATCATGAAAGCTTTTTTTCTAGTAATTTTGTGACATATGACAAAGGAAAAAGAAGCTTACCCGTATGCAACTATTACAACGGTTGTCTTGAAGTGAAAACTGAAGTATCAATTGGAAATTCCCGATATGTTGTAACTTTTTGTGAAAAAATCATAACACTGTAATTGTAACCTTTGCTCTTCAATCAATACACATGAATAAACCCCTGCGTATGTAGGTGTCTCATATTATAAAAGGGTCAAAAGTTATGTTAAGAGAAAGAAAGTAAAATTATCAATTTTCAATGCTAAGGAGGGCCCCCAATAGTCACTAGATGTCTCTGAATAAAATTCAGTCAAATTTCTATAAACTCATAGCGATTTACAATATAATGATTTGTTCATAATTAATTTTTTGACGACGTCTAGAACATGTGACAAAATCAAATCTGTGCCTAATTTGTTCGCTGTTTCATATATATTCCGATTTTGTGGCAGGCCACAAAACATAGTCTTGTGGACCGCAAAAACCACGCGGGCCGCGAGTTTAAGACCCCTGTTCTAAATTGATTATCATGTTTCAAAGTATTAGATTTATATTATGATTTCATGAAATTATCCTGTGTTTCAGAAGACGAATATAATAATTTGGATTGTGACAGTTAGCCATAGTTTTTATTGCATTAACTTATCATTGCATACGATTTTTAATGGTTGATAACTTTTTGCCTATAAGTAGGTCGTTTATCTTATCATTGAGTACTAGAGTAAAATTCAAGGAAATTAACTTTTAGTGATCACGCCAGACCCTCCCATATATAACTTTATCTTGATACTGTATGTGATGTTGATACATTTTATATACAGTGGTTAACTACAAGTCTGCCAATCTTTGCTTCAACTCGTTCACTGACCCTCACTTTCCTGTCTATCTCTCTGAACTGTTGCTTCCTTACATCCCCACAAGACAACTACGTTCTTCCATTGACAGTAGAACCCTCTCAATCCCAAGAACCAAAACTAAGACCATCGGTGAACGCTCCTTCTGCTTCCATGGGCCCACGTTCTGGCACCAGCTCCCCTTCCATATACGTCATAGTGAAACCTCGTCCATTTTCAAAAAGTCCCTTAAAACTCATCTGTTTAGGTCCGCCTATGATCTGTGATGCACCCTCCTTGCCCTACCTCATTTTCTGTTTCGGGTTGATCCTGAAGTGTCAAAGTGTCCTCGTTTTATAGCCATTTTCATTGTTTCTATAGAATAGTAGTTACTATCCTAGTCTCATTTGTATTTACTTAGTTTACATGTTTTTAATAATTGTAATAATTTATGATAAGCGCTATATAAAAATGCCTAAATAAATAAATAAATAAATAACTAAATTTTATTACTTGTAGTTTTTTTAATTGTGAATAGGCATCTGGTTGTTTAGTTATACAACTGTATACACTATTATTTATATGTGTTATGGATAGTACGTATTTTCATAAATAGGGACATGTCTTAAATGATACTGTGACATGACGTCAATTACACTGTAACATAACTTCAACTGCACTATGACATGACTTCAATTTTATTTTAACATGACGTCAAATGCACTGTGAAATGACGTCACCTGCACTGTGACATGACTTCAATTTAGTGCACTGTGACATGATTTTAATAGCACGGTGACATGCCTTCAATTTAGTGCACAGTTACATGAATTAATTTGCACTGTGACATGATTTTAATTGCACTGTGACATGACTTCAATTGCACCGTGACATATCTAGCTGTCTTTTTCGTTTATTGGATTCGTTTCAAGAGTTAAAAATAACTTATTGAAACATTAGTAACCTGCTTGTGAATATTTTAACATTTGCATTTCCTTGTCGTTTAAAAACAATGATAAAATTTACTTATTTATAAAAATGAAATTAAAACATTTAATGTGTATTGTATCAAATTGATTTAAAGAAGTGTGTTAAATTATATGACTAATCTGTTGGTTCATTAAATTTAATGTCACACTTTAGTAGACAATAGTAATGTGCTATTCCACGTAAATAGTCCTCAGACTGAATATTGGGTTCAAACGACTTGACGATGCGAGTAAGTGTTTCTGCTGAATCTTTATATTGTTTTCTTCCTGGTGGAGGCTCTTGACCACTGATGTATTGTTCAATACGAAGTTCGTTCAAACTTTGTTCACGTTTGATAGTTTTTATAAACTTCCAAATGTTGGGGTGGTCAGCGCAAACTTGGTTCTGAAACCCCCTGTGCCAACCTTCAAGAGCAATACTGGTTTTTGGCAAATCTATCTATCTATCTATCTATCTATCTATCTATCTATCTATCTATCTATCTATCTATCTATCTATCTATCTATCTATCTATCTATCTATCTATCTATCTATCTATCTATCTATCTATCTATCTATCTATCTATCTATCTATCTATCTATCTATCTATCTATCTATCTATCTATCTATCTATCTATCTATCTACCTATCTATCTACCTATCTACCTACCTATCTACCTACCTATCTACCTACCTACCTACCTACCTACCTACCTACCTACCTACCTACCTACCTACCTACCTACCTACCTACCTACCTACCTACCTAAATACCTACCTACCTACCTACCTACCTACCTACTTAAAATTAATAACGTAATTAAACTTAACCTTTAAATATACTTTAAAATATTTTTAGGTTAATCAGGGAAGCGACACTCCATAGTCAAAAAACATCACCCAATGAACGTATCTCTCATCCAAATAAGAACAATCATCGTTATTGTCAGTGACGCTACAGAACATGTAAGGACCTGGCCTGCTCCACTACATCCTTCTATTTGAAACAATCCATGGCTTTTCGCCTCCATGAGTGAAACCCCAACTGGTGTAATTCCTTCTCTAAATCGTCACTCCATTTCATCCTTGGGCGACCAGTGAGTCATCTCCCCCTAGGTTTCTGCCTGTATATCACTTTTTACCGGCATCCTTTCAATATGTCTGCCCAGCGCAGTCTATCTTTTTTATTATTGCGACTATGGGTGGGTCTTTGTACAATTGGTATAGCTCTTGGTTTGTACGGATTCTCCAGGCACATTTTCTATTATTGGGCCGTATATTTTTCTGAGGATTTTCCTCGCCCACGTATTGAGAAGTTTTTTCTGTTTTTCTGGTAAGGGTCCAAGTCTCAATAGTTTAAGTTACTACTGGTCTTATGATAGGGGTGTATAGTGTCTTCTGTGTTACCCTTTAGAGGATTTTGCTTCCCAGTAACTTTTGTAGGCTGAAATAATAACATATGCTTGCAGTTATCCTTTCTTTCACCTCCGACATTATTTTATTGTGCTCGTTCATAATTGTCCCTCGATATTTGAATATAGCCACAACTCTCACATTGTTGGTTGTTTATATTGATGTTGTCATTAGCGTAGAAGTTTCGTGTCGTTATCATATAATTTGTCTTTTGTTCATTTACATCAAGACCAGCTTTTGCTTAGGCCATTTTAAGTTCCCTGAATGCTTTAATTGTGTCATTACTGTTTCTAGCCAGTAGCGCTATAATGTCTGCGTATGCCAGGCACTGCAATGGCTGGCTATATAAGGTTCGTGATGTTTCTTTTTCTGTGATACGTCTCTGGAAATAGCTTGTTATCGTTCCACTGGTGCGCACGTGTATGCTTCTAAGAAATTTTTCTAGTTTGATGTTAAACAGGATACATGATAGTGAATCTTCTTGTCTGAGGCCCTGATTAACTGGAAACTCTGCACTTTGATTCTACTTTTGGAGTTAAACATCGTCATATGTGTGAGCCGAGTAAGCTTGTTAGGGGCTCCAAGTTGTTGTAGTGCGTTTTATAAGTAATTCCTGTCTACGCTATCGTATGCAGTATTTTAATCCACTTATAGTTGGTGTGTGTCGATTTTATATATGAAACATTTCTCCAGGAGACATCTAACAGTAAATATAAGATCCATGGTTGACCTATTCTGCCAGAATCCGCATTGGTAGTCCCCTAGGATATGTTCACTATACCTTTCCAGTAGTCTTGTTATTTATATTATTATTATTATTATCATTATTATTATTAGTTTTTTATAGCGTAGTACCCCAACCAACCTAGGGCTGGGCACACCACGCTGTATATACAATTTAACAAACAAAATAAGAAAATGTATATTTAAAAATATTTACATGTCAAGCCATGGACGGCACCCAGTAGCATTGTTTTTAGATCATAGTTGGGAATCAGTCAGGATAATAGATGTGTTTGAATGCAGTTTTGAAGGCTGTGATGGTCGGTATTTTACGGATGTGTAGTGGCAAACAATTCCATTGTTTGGGGGCACAGAAAGAGAAAGATCGTTCACCATATGTTTTTTGCGTGTCTTGGGGACAGAAAGAATACGCACGTCTGCGGAGGAGCGAAGCTGTCGAAGGGGTGAATAGACAGAGAGAAGTTAGGTTAGATAGAAGGGAAGGAATTCAAGAAAAGTTGAGGCAGATAATAGAGAGTTTGTAATCAATCCGTCCTTGTGCAGGGAGCCAATAAATTGAATGAAGTCGTGGTGTGACGTGATCATGTTTTTTGCCTTAAGAATTAGCCTAGCGGCTGAGTCTTGAACCGTTTGTAATTTTTCTATAGAGTGTTTTGCTGAACATGATAGAAGAGAATTACATTAGTCAAGGCGAGAGAGAACAAGAGTAAAGACTAGTGTTTTTGTTGCACTAACTGTGAGGTATTGGCGGATTGAGCTGATCTTACGCATGGCGGTGCATGCAGAGCGACAAATGTGAGAGATATGGTTATCGAGAATATTGTTGTTAGACAGAATATAACCAAGATTCCTAGCGGAGAAAGTAAACTGTATATCGGAGTTACCTACATAAAATGAAGTGGGGAGAGCTGAATTTGAGGATGATTTATGATCGTGAATAAGGAGTGCTTCAGTTTTGTCATCGTTAAGCTTCAACTTTCTGAGTGCCATCATGTCTTGATATCATCAATTCTCTCCCACAAAGTCTGATCAGCAGAATCGACGAGAGAGGCATGGGAATGCTTATATAGCTGCGTGACATATGCGAATGACTGGCTCTGCACAGCA